CCAGAAAGCCTAACACACCTGCAGGTACTAGAATGGTTACTTTAGTGTAATTTGTGTAGTAGTTAGGAAAATATCCCATTGGGTTTTCTTAATTGCAGGTTGCGTGATAGTGTGGCCTGTACCTCACCTGCTGTTAGTGTTTTGCTTTTAATCACTTGTTATGGCTGATCTCGGTTGTTAATTTGACATACCTGAGAAGAGGCTGGGCATGTCTGTGGGGCATTTTCTTTTGCTAATTGGTAGAGGTGCTGTTCCTGGGCAGGAGGGCCTGGGCTCTGTAAGGTAACAGAGCAAGCCAGAGGAAGCCAGCCGGTGAGCGGCGTTCCTCCATGCTTTCTGCTTCAGCTGCTGCCCCAGGTGCTTGCCTGGAGTTCCTGCCCTCACCCTTAGATGTAAGATAAGATAAGCCCCCCCCCCAGTCATTTATGGTGTTTTATAACGGCAGCAGAATGTAACCAACATAGCATTGTAAGCAGGATTCAACAGATAGCTTGTTGGGAAATATTAACTGAGTGTGACAGTTAGCCTGCTGCATCGCACTGCCCAGGCCACGGGGCTACCAGACCTTCAGCCAGTCGTATTTCTTGGAGTGCCTGACCATATATTTCTGGATGAGATTAACCTGTCAGTCGAGTAAAACAGAGGCTCCTTTGTGGTGTGGGTGAACCGCATTCAGTCAGCTGAAGACCTGAATGGAAGGACCTCCTCTGTGTGTCTTTGAGCTGGGACATCAGGTTCCTTCGTTGGTTCGTTTGTTCTTTCTTTCTAATTTCTTTCTTTTTTACCTCAAACTGAAAGATTTCAAGTATCGATACCATATCACTGACTCCCCTGGGTCTGCAGCATGCGAGAGGCAGCCCTGTGGCCTTTCTCCCCTATAGTCATGTGAGCCAGTTATAGTTCTCTTATAATTAATAAATCTCATATATATGTGTCTACACATACACATGTATGTATGACATTTCTGATAAGCTGACCAGGTCAGCTCCACGAGCTCAGTGAAGTAGCTAAATGGAGTCTACATGGCCACAGCTGTGGCCCTGTGGAGGAAGCTGCCCGTGGGATTTCCGGGTTTGTCATCTTAAAGGTGTGCCTTAAAATCTGCATTGTAGTTCTAGATAGCAGTTCTTAACATTAAAACATGCCAAAGGTGCTTTGACAGTTTGTTTAAATGTTAAAACCGATATTTAACAGTGTACATACTCTGAACAAAAACGATTATATTGAAAATATTTAAGTATATGTGATAAAAATATGTTTTTTAAAAACAATGTGTACCAAGAAAATATGCTTAATGTGCTGACAAATGTGTACAGTTTAAAATAAGTCTTTGCTTGCTTGTAGGTATCTTATTGTTTGCGCTTTCCGTCCTCAGTCTCCTGAAGAGCTGAAGTGTAGGCATGAATGTCTGGACCTGACTCAAGATTTTATTTTACTTGTGTGTATGTATATGTGTGTGTGCGCATGTGCGTATGCTTGTGTGTGGATGTGGAGGCCAGAGAACCACTTCAAGTGTGTTCCTCAGGAGCCATCACCTCTTTTTGAAACAAAGCCTGTTACTTATCTGCAACTTGCTGACTAGGCTAGGCTTTACCTCAAAAAAATTGTACAATTTGGCCATTTTTTTTCTTTTTTGAGACCAAGTCTAAGTAGCTCTGGCTTTGAACACTTCCCATTTTTATTTATTTATTTAAGACAGGCTATCACTCTTTATCCCTGTCTGGACTAGATAGAACTCACTGTGTAGACCAGGCTGACCTTGAAGTCACAGAGATCCATTTTACCTGGAAAGTCGTCACTGGGTCTGCCGTTGAACTTAGTCCATTTCCCCGGATTTCTAAGCTTTAATTACTACTATTTTTTAAACAGATGAGTTGGTGCTCTCCGGTGTCTGTGACTATTTGGTGAACAGTATAGGAGTCTCCAGTTACTAAACATCAAAGACTGGGGAGATTTCCATATGGCATTCTCATTTCCATGGTGTACTGTGTACAGCTTTGAGGTCTGTTAGATCAGACCAGATGCGGGAGAATATAGGTTAAAGGCCTGGCTGGCATCTGAGTGAAGATGGCTGAGAGCCCCTGTTACTTGAGGAAGGAGAGGGTGTCAGTACTTCTAAGCGCAAGCTGTATTCTCAGAATACCATGTTTTGGTTGGTATTTTTGCAGGTACCTTGTCACACCATATAACGTCATTTAGCGCTTTACTGTTTCTCTGTAACAGTTGTATTTTAAGTTTTGTTTTGTTTTTGCCTAACATTTTCTCCTCTCCCTCTGCTTCTCTCTCTGTAGTTGGAAAAAAATGTCTGAGTTTCTCTTTGTTTTCAAACTATATATATATATATATATATATATATATATATATATATATATATATATACATACAATTGAGAATCTGTTGAATTATTTCTTCCTTCTTACAGATGATTCTCACTCAAGCGTCTCTTTCCAATTGCTTTAAATTTAAAAGTAAACTTACCAGAATGATATTAGCATTTTATAGTTCTCAAAAATGTTAGTTTCTAAAATTAAATATGTAAAATGTTCTGTTTTGTGTATGCAATAAATTAGGTTCTTATTATAGCAGGATTCAAGAGTCACTGTCCTTCATTGTGTGAACATCTAGGTACAGAGGGAATGCTGTAGAGCCACTCGTGTATTTCGTACATGTGTTCCTGTCCATCTGGACTGTCAGGAAACTTAGCATCACAAGGTACAAACCTTCCTTAGTCTTCCGGGGCTGCACTAGTATAATACCATTGACTGGTATTTAAAATACAAGGTATGCATTCTTCCATTTCTGAAGCCGGAGAAGCCCCAAGTCAACACATGGCAGTCTGTGCCTGTTGGGGGATCCAGTTTCTGCTTCACAGAAGCTATCTTGTGTTCTCACATGGCAGAAGGGCATCTAGGCTCTCTGGAGTTTCTTTTATCCTATTCTAATCCTGTTTATAAGGGCAAACAGCTAGTCCTCTCTCAGAGATTCTACCTCCTTATGATGCTGCCTGAAGGCAATGATTTCCACAAATCAATTAGAGAGGTGTCCATAAACATTCCATTATAGGAACCATCCTGCATGTCATTACTTAATAATGGGTCCAAAGAATATTGGGTCCAAGAGATGAGTCTAGAAAAGCTTTAGAAAAGCTCAAGCATCTGGGGTCAGTCTTGAAAGGAGAAGCAGGCAAAAAGGACTTTACCTAAAAGTTATAATGTAATGACATAAATTTCTGCCTACCCTCTCAAAATCATGACCTATTTTTAAGTGTAATATTCTCTCTCTCTCTCACACACACACACATATTGTTCCTTGTATCTGTATGATTCCATGGCTGACCATTTGGTATTAGAAAACCAATTAGGGGACTCATCCCTGGGGAAGAATAGTTCTCCTTTTAACATTCCTTAGTTGCCTGTAGTTCTTTGTCTGTGGGTGAGATTTCTCCCTTCTATATTAGCATGTTTATTGGTGGATACTTTTTCATGTTTTGTGTAGGCAGCCAAATGGTAGTTGAGGTATTATGAATGAAACATTCTTCTTAGGAGACAAAAATCTCAGCAGATTCCTAGTCTTCTGGCTCTTACTGTTGTTCCTCCCCCCTTTCCATAGTGTTCCCTGAGTCTTAGGTGTAGGAGTTGTGTTATAGATGTATTTTTTAGCTGGGGCCAGGAACTCTGTGATCATTTGTTCTCTGCATTTTGACTGGTTTCTGTAATGGTCATCATCTGTTGCAAAGGGAAATTTCTTTGATAAGTGGTAGAACTATACTAATCTGTGGGTAGAAGGATAAATGTTTAGAATGTAGTTAGGAATTATAATGGTATAGTAAAGTTGTAGTTTTAGGTTCTCCTATAAGATCCTTGATCTCACCAGCCTACAGTAATTGGCTCTATTTCTAGTATGAGGCCTGAGTACTCCAGTTAAGTGGGCCGTAAGTCCAATTGCAGAGCTGTTGGTAACTGACAAGGTATGTGTGCCACTATTGCATCCTCAGTGACATCTTGCCTTGATGGTCACTTTTACGGTTTATAACTGTTAAAGTTGGGTGGAGATATTGGTTGCTTCCCTTCCTTGGTAGCTTGAATAGTGCCTTCCAGTACTATGAAAATTAGTCTTCTGGGAGGATCCTTTCAAGTTAGATCCACCTTGAATCTCCTGGGTTTTATGTCCAAAGTGCATGGTGTTGAGAACATTCTTAATAACTATGTCCTGCATATAAGAATAAAAACATGATGCATTTGGGCTTTGGGAAGGAATTAGTATATCCAGGATTGCATAAGGATAGTAGGCAATAACCTGAGATGGAAGGTTGGAACTGGTCCCTGAGAATCGTGCAGTTTATTTTCTGACCTAGTTCAGAGTTGGAAATGCAGCAGGTATCAGATGGCCTACTTCTATTCACATTTAAAAATAGATAACTACTCATTTTTATATTTTCTAACATTAATATTGTATCTTTCATTTTTGCAGGGACATGTATGTAGTATATGTACCGTATGTGGATAGATGTAAGTTTGTATATGTGTATGGATTTGCATGCATGTACACGCACATGCATGTTGAGGCCAGAGGTAGACTGGGTGTCTTTCTGGATCACTTTCAAGCTTATTTTTTGATGTAGGGTCACTTACTGACACCAGAGCTCACTGACTGGCTGGCCAGCTGGAGGCCCACTTGTTTCCCCTCCCCTAGTGCCAGGGTAGCAGACATGTGGTCCCAGGCCAGACTTACATGTGATTGCTGGGCATTGCTCAGGTGCTCGTGTTTGGACAGCAGACACTTTCCTGGCTGAGCTCTCTATGTCCCAAGCCTCTCATTTCTGTGCTTTTCAGTCATTTCTCCACTCTCATCTCAGTGTCTGTAAACAAGGAGGCAGATGGTTAATGCACAGTTGGCTGTGCTTCCAGCAGCATTAGAGCCTGCTCTCACTGGAGTCTGTGTGCTTGTGTGTTCTTTGCCTCCTTCTCCTCTCGAAATCATTGTTTTCCTCTTCATCATAGGACTTGGCTTTTTCTCTGAGAGAAAGACAACAGCTGAACATTCATGGATTGTTGCCACCTTGCTTCATCAGTCAGGAAATCCAGATCCTTAGAGTAATTAAGAATTTTGAGCGTCTGAACTCTGACTTCGACAGGTAACACATTTATGAACTTATTTCTGTTATGAAACTCTCTGTCCTATTTTTTTGTAAAAGAAAGTTGAGGTATTACATGAAGAGATAGTTGACTTTGGATAGTTAACTCTGAGGAGAATTTGTTTGCAAATACAGTGATTTTTTTTTTTAAAGCATTTACTCTCAGGATCATTTGAATGAAATATTTTTTTATAATCTAATCTCAGTTTTACCTTAAGTTTTCTCATAGAAAAATTATAATGCCCATATTTACTTAGTATATGTTTTTATATGTAAACATAAGCATTCTTAACAGAAGAAATATCCAAGAAAATGACTGCTCTTGTTTCTAAAATTGGTCATTGTCATAGCTAGTGTCTGTAACTACCTTCTTCTGGTGGAGTGATGAAGATTTTCAATCCTGAACAGTCTGGCCTCGGTAGTGCTTCCTAGTGGGTATGAGTTTCCATCCACAGTACAGCGGGACAGGGTCTGATGGCAGGAAGGGGGGTCAGGGGCACACTTGTCAAGTAAGTTTCCTCTGAAGGAAACTCTCACGGGGACTATGTTAGTCCCTTCTAAGGACAGGTTTCCCAGTGACCCAACTGTCTTCTGCTAATGTCACCTCTTGAGTTTCCCAGCACCTTTCCAATTGGCACATAAGAGACCAAACTTTCTGCACACTATCACACACTTAAGTGATCTCTAATCCATACTGGAAATCAATCCAAAGGGCCTATTTATATTGTTGAACATGTTTTTCAAAACTTTGCAGTTGTACAAACTAGTTTGAATTTTAGCAAAGGTAATACAAGAAGGGATATGAGTGGAGAGATAATTAGACCGGAAATGCTTCTACATAGAGAAAGGCCATTAAAAGTTGGGTGTGACAGTGTGACAGTGCATTCATTTAATCTTGGTACTCAGAAGGTGGAGGCAGGTGGATCACTATTAGTTACATGCCAGCCTGGTCTAGATAGTGAGTTCTGGGCTAGCCAGGACTGCATAGTGAGACCATCTCAAAAAAGAAAGAAGGAGCCATTAGTTTGCTTAAGTTTGTGGTTAACCTCTACTGTGCTATTTTCATCTCTTTAATTATAGAGTAGGGACTACATCAGTCCCTGAACAGAATTGTTATTTCAGAAATAGTAATGTTTGAATGATAGTAATCAAATTTGTGTTTCCTTATTCTTGAGATGTTGAGTTTTTATATGTATACATTTGTGTTATGTGTGCACAGATATGTTTATGTCTGTATATATGCCTGCACATGCCTGCACTTGTGGAGGCCAGGGGTTGATGTTGGATATCTCCCTCTGTGGTTCTCTCACTGAACCCAGAGCACACCGATTGACTAACCTGGCTGGCTAGTGAGCTCTGAGATCCACTTGTCTGTCACACCAGCCTGCATTATAGATGTGGACCACTGAGTACAGGTTTTTGCATTGATGCCAGAGATCCAAACTCAGATCCTCATGTTTGCTCCTCAGGCGCTTTCTCCATAAAGCCATCTCCCTAGCCCCTTGAAGGATATTTCAGGTTTTTTTTTTTTTTGTTTTGTTTTGTGGTTTTTTTTTTTTTGCTAATTTTTTAAGTCAGGGTCTCACTGTGTCACCCAAGCTGTCTTCATAGTCAGTCCTTCCTGAGTTGCCTGGGTATTAGGATTAGAGGCACATGCCACCATATCTGGCTTGATTTTACATGCTTTCTGCTTGGCTAAAGGTTTACTGTATACTTGGTTGAAATTAGATTTACTTTCTTGTTTGTTTGTTTTATTTTTTGTTTTTACTTTTTAAAAATTTTTATTCTATTTTTATTAATTACAGTTTATTCACTTTATATCCCAGCTGTAGCCCCCTCCTCCATCCCCTCCCAATCCCACCCTCCCTCCCTCTTCTTCTCCTATGCCCCTCCCCCAGTCCAATGATAGGGAGGTCCTCCTCCCCTTCCATCTGACCCTAGTCTTATCAGGTCTCATCAGGACTGGCTTCTTTGTAAAATTAGATTTCTAATAGCCATTTACACTGTTAGATGCTGATGTAATTGTGTCTCATTTCCACAGGCATCTTCTGTTGATGGATCTGCAAGATAGAAATGAGAAGCTGTTTTATGGTGTGCTGATGTCTGATATTGAAAAATTTATGCCTATTGTTTATACTCCCACTGTGGGTCTTGCATGCCAGCAATACAGCTTGGCATTTCGGAAGCCAAGGTATGTAAACTTTTATTTTAAATACAATTTGTATTTTATCTTTTTGTAACTTTTTATTGTGTAATTAATATCAGTTGTATTAATTTATCATACAGAATGTGTATAAATTGTGAAATGGCTAAACTGATCTAACTAATGTGTACATTATTATATTTGACAATTATTCAATATAATTAAAGCATATATTTAGCATATATAATAGTGATTTTGGCAAGAACAATGAAAACAGCCTCTTAACAATTTCAATAATATAGTATGGTGGAGCATGGATTGCTGGCTCAGAGGTTAATATCTCATACTGCTCTTGCAAAGGACCTGAGTTTGAATTCAGTTCTTAGCACCCACATTAGGCAGCTCAGGACGGCCTGGTATTTCAGTTCCTGTGGATTCAGCACTCTCTTCTGACTTCTTTCTGCAGGGCAGCTACACCCATTTTCACATACACGTTTAATTTAAATCTTAAATACTGACGTAATTAAACAATTGAAAATACGTTTGCAGTAACTGCAGTCACTGTGGTACACAGGTGCTCTCTAGAACGTCTTCTATCTAGTTGAAAGTCTTCAGTATTTGACAAGCATCTCCTAAGCTTGCAGCAAATCTTGAGTCCCTGGTGACTCCTGCTCTGCTGCTTGTGCTGCGTGTGCTGTTTTGGATTGGACCCATCAATGAGGTTCCACCTAGTACTGACCTTTCTGTGTTTGGCTTGTTTCACCTAGTATACTGTCCTCCATGTTCATGCAGGGTTTTTCAGTGACAAGATACCCTCTTTCTTTTCCTTTTTTGTTTTGTTTTTTTGAGACAGGGTTTCTGTGTGTAGCCTTTGCTCTTCTGCACTCGCTTTGTAGACTAGGCTGACCTCGAACTGACAGCAGTCTGACTAGCTCGGCCTCCCTGAGTGGTGGGATTACAGGTGTGCACCACTGTGCCTGGCTCAGGGTACTCTCTGTCTATAAGGATGAATAGTACACCATTCTGTGTGTTCCTTCATTAACTTGTTCATTACAAAAATTAAATTTGATTCCGTATCTTGCGTATTGTGAATAATACTGCAGTGATACCTATTTGACAGGCTGATGTCATGTTCTTTGGATATGTACTCAATGGTGAGATTGATAGGTGTCTTGTTTTAACTTTTTGAGGAACCTCTATATTGTTCTCTATGCTGGCTGTATTTTTCCTTGCTTCTAGCATTGGGCAGTTTATTTTTTCTCATTCATACCCTAGCCAACATATTTCTCATCATTTTGAAGATAGCCATTTTCAAGGTGTCAAGTGATAGCTGAGTGTAGTTTTAATTAGCATCTCATTGATGATTGATCATGTTGAATAAATTTTCATATACCTCTTGTCGCTTATCTGCTTTTATTTTTTTAAAGATTCACTTATTTGTGTCTGTTTTGCCTGCATGAATGTATGTGCTTATGCATGCCTGGTGCCCTTGGAGTTACACAAAGGCATAGAATCCTCCTGCCGCTGCTTCCTGGGATCCCAGGCACGTGCTGAAACACCTGGTTTATGTGATGCTAAGAATGGAACTCAAAGCTGTGTCTTTGCTAGGCAAGCACTCTGCCAGCTAAGCTCTGTCCCCAGCTTTCCAGATCAATTCTTATATGGATAATCCTACTCAATTCTTACAAGAACAATCCTACTCCTAATATTTGCTAAGAGAAAAAGCTGCAATATCCATTTATTGGTTTTGTGTAGCATTTCTTCTCATTGGCATACTTTGTTGGCTTTCAGTCAGGATGTCGTGGATAATCACCTTTCAGAGTGTTGTTGAGCTTGCTTAGGTTGTTTTGTTTCCATGTGCCCTCAGCACTTGATTCATGTAGGGTTTCCAGTTTGGTGTTTTTCTCTGCTTGTGACAGCACACTTGATTATGGCTGACCTTTACACAGATGGCAGTGACAGATCTCTGTCTTTTTCTGTTCTGCTGAGCTCCCTGTGTTACCCAAGTTACTTACTATATATCTTGTGAACCTTTTCAGAAAGCTTCACAAAAATTAATTTTACAGGTATATAAATCAGACATAGGGTATCTTTGGAAGTATTTATACTTGCTATAAATTTTAAACTTAAAATTTTAAAATTTTAATTTTGTGTGCGTGAGTGTTTTGATTGCATGTATATAAGTGTACCACATGCATGCCTGGTGCCTATGGAGGCCAGAGAGGGCATTAGAACCTCTGGAAATAGAGTTACAGATGGCTGTGAGAAGCCATGTGGGTACTGGGAACCAAACCAGGTCCTCTGCAAGTTAAGGTAGAAACAATGTTCAGTGCTCAAATCAATTGGAGAAAACCATAAGTGCAACTAATAGAATTTTTGGCCTCATAGTTCCTTAGAATAATAACTATTTTGGAAGCTTTTAAGAGGGTGAGGATTGGGCATAATACATATAATGTAGCTGGAATAATCTTTAATGCAGAGTAGCTATTCCTCAATGGTAGTTATTGTTAATGGTATTATAACAACTCCCAGGATTTTTGACATTGAAGTGAATGGAGGGTATTATTCACCAACTTTAAAACAGTAGAATATGTTTGCAAAAGAGCAAGAATTTTATGTGTCTTTTGGGCATTCAAATGGAAGTATCTAGAAGTCAATTTAATGTGTGGACAGGGAACTCAGTAGGTGGGATTTCAAAGATTCTGATATTTTTGTAGTAGCTAATCTTTATACATGTATATAATGGAATATGATCATAACCATCTCAGTTTCTCTTTTCTTATTCTCCATCTCCCTCCAAATTTTATGACTCTCTTCCTTTTGATAATTCAGTTAGTGCTGTCCAAATATACATGAGTTTGGGGTCATTCTCTAGAGTCAGGAAAACCTGCCCGGGGACAGTACCCTAAAAATTATTCTCCCTCTGTGTCTGAGACACTAGGGAGATATAAATAAATGTCTGCTTACCCCAGATGGGAACTCATGACACACCAAAGTATAGATGCCACCAGAATCCAACTTCACGAAACAATGAATTTGATTGGAGTCACTTACAGGAGCAGAGATGACTCAAAACAGCCGCTTCACCAAACCAGCCCAGCATGGATGACAAGTCATGAAAGCTGGAAACCAGGTGCAGGCAGCTCAGCAGGTTGGGGAGTACCCTTTCCAGGAAGTTTAGTTTGTCTCTGCTTCTTCCAGGAAGCTACACTTTTTTGAGCATCTCTCTCAGTTCTTCCTACTTACATATGCTTGGGGAGGGAGAAGCATAGTGAATCTCGTTAGTTTGGGGAACTTCCTAAAGCAATCAAGTTGTTCACATCTGCAGGACTGAAAGTTTCAACTCCCCATTTAACATCTTACGTCTTAAACTGCTTTTCAAAATGGGAACTTTCATTCTTAGATCAAACTACTACATAACACTCCTCTCCAGCAATTATTAACTGCTTATAGCTCCTCAAAAGGGCTGGGGCTAGAGAATACATCCTCAATCTCTTTATTTTATGGAATTTTTACTAAAGCTTTTACTATTTTAGTTTGTACATTATATCTGCTACACAAATCACATTGTGTTAATTTTGACAATGATGAAGAGTATCAATGTTATTGTTGAAGAGATTCAGTTAGTAGATTTCTAGGATTTGCTTTATTTTTTTCCTAGAAAATTCTTCTCAGTGCTGGAACTCAGGGCTTTGCATCATATACTAAACAAGTCCTCTTTCACCCTCAGCCCCTCCTGGAAAAGACTTTTGGGGGAATGTGGGGTGCTGGGACAGGGGTTATGTAGCCCTGGCTGTCCTGGAAGTAATCATGTAGAACAGGCTGCCCTGGAATTTACAGACATCCATCTGCCTATGCCTGCAATGTGCTGGGATAAAAGACATATGACAGCTTTCCTGGCCTTCTGGAAAGTTCTTAAAGAACGTAAGGAACTATTAAGAGGAACCACAGTAAAATATTAAAATGCCCTTTGCTATATTTAGTGTTTATAAATATAAACCAATTCGTTTCAGGATTCCAAAACATTCTTGGAGTAGTCATTGATCAATAATACTGCACTTTTAAAATTTGATATAAGGAAGTGTATGTTATAAATACATTTACCACCATGACCTGGGTTTGAAATAGAGATGGTTACATTTATGACTCTAAAGATGGCTTACTTAATGAAAATACATTCTGAATATGTTCAGAATCTCAAGATGAGGGTGTCCTCTTTAATTTAAATTTGATTTGTGAAATAGCAATAAGAAAAAAAGCTTAAAATAATATTTTAAAAAATTACTGAGGCTAGCATTTCTTCAACCAAATGTTTCTGTTTTACATAGTGGGGAATATAACTGTTAACCATGAAGTGAATGGTTAATTGAATAGAAACATCCAGATTGTTTAAATGATGTATCATATAGGTGTTTGATACTAATTCTACTTAAGTTAGAACTACTTTAGTAGCTTAGCAACTGATTATAAAGTAAGTGTGTGTTGCTTATGGAAAGGTGCCTGGTTTCATGGCCATTTTGAGTAAGTTCAGGCTATATGCTCAACCTTTGAAATAACCCCATGGTATTGTTTCAGTCAAACCCGAGGCTGTAGCAAACCTCCATAAATGTAGTGACTTCTTGACCAGAGAGTCTTCTTTCTATCTCTCCTGGGGCCTGGGATTAGCATGGTTGGGGTCTGGAGAGGTTTGCCTTCTGGGTATGGGTCACTGGCTGGTTGCTTGTCATGTCTCCATGTGATAAAACAGAGCACTCTGTGAAGCTTTTCATGTAGATGCCTACAGTACTAATCCTGGTCTTGGGGCTCCATGACCTGATCACGTCTGAAAGGCCCTGCTTCTTCACACCCTAACCCTGGGGTTGAAACGTAAGCAGTTAATTTTAGGGAGCGCATGCAGCTTCAGTGTCTTGCAGGCACCTCGGTAGCTTAACAGGGTTCTACTTATTACTGAGACATCAAAATGCAAACCTGTAGGCAGTCCAGGGCCCATGGGTCCTGAGGTTCCCATCAGAGGCTGGTGGAGCTGACTCTTAGAAAATGGGCCAGAT